ACATTTCTGTTTTCTCTGACAGCTGGAGAGCCAAACATTTCTTTCAAATCTTTATATTTCTTTTCATCCAGCTTGATACCATTTGTAATAGGCTTATTCAATTTGTCATAAGATTGAGTTGCTAGAGGAAGTGATACAGAGGTAGATTTAGGAAAGGGCTGAGGAAGGGATTCAGGAGAGCTGAGAGAGACCTCTGCTGATGTAACTGGAAAAATGTGACTGTTCATAAATTGGCATATGGTATTACCTGGGGGCTTTGCTACAGACTGAGAAGCTGATAATGCCAAAGAGCTGAGTTCTTCTAAGTCATGAATAAAGTTGTCAGGAAAAGGTGGAGGAGTTGGGACAGATATGCTTGAAGGTAGAAAACCAACAGTCAGTGAGAGCAATTCATTAGTGACAGCCTGAAGATTCTCTTTAGTAGAGTCTGACCAAGGAGAGGAACAACACCTGGGAAGTGGGGATGATGCTTTGGAAGGCAACTTTAGAAATAAAAAAAAGAAATTAAAAGAAAAAATGAAAATGACATTGGACATATGAGTGATTAAAGAAGTTCTCTACCATCTTCTGGCTTACAGGATACTATTTCAATATGCACAAATGTCTGAAATCATTAGTACATGAATCAGAGTAGAAAAAAAGACATTTGAAAAATGAAACTCTATCAGGTTCTGGCCTGGGACTTAAATGTCAAACATCAAGACATATCTGAAGCACTGAGTTCATGAAGGGAGTTTAAATTTGATCCACTGAAGTTATGTTATTTACTGCTCTATGTTAGTAAGCCTGTCACAAGTTGTTCAATCATACGATCAAGATTGCTGTCATTTCTTTCAAACTGTAACTATTATTTTGAGAACACAGGTACTGCTGGAAGCACCTGCCTCATTTTAGGTGCCATTAAATACTAACAGAAATAAAATAAACTGGACGATGTCTAATTGTAATATGATCACTATTTTCTGCACTATTCTGTGAGATGATCTTATAGAAACATCTTAAATACATTGCATACTTTTATTAAGGCATCAGTAGCTACACAGTGCATTTTTATTTAAAAAAAGATGTTATTTTGAACAAGAAGATTACATTTTGCATAAAGATGCATAACACTCAAATCTGACTGAATGTAGACTTTTTAAAATGGTGACAGCATAGTACAGAGCAATATATCTTGAATACCAGTACATATTATTGATTGAAGTATCCTTCTGGTAAAATAAATGTCCTTTTGTAAGAATGACAGACTTGAGAGTCAAACGTACACCGCATCTGTAGATATCCATTGCTTCAGTAAATACTGAAAATGTATTTGTGTGACTATTAATCCTCCAAATTTAACTTGAATTAAAAAAATTTTGATTTCATTGTTAAAATCATCCAAAACAATTCTAGACTGCATCTCTTTGCATGCTTTAGGTTATCCAGCTACTTTACATTTTACGTAGTATTGTAGAAATAGAAAAAGGTTTAATTTCTGAATATCATAGCATGGACAGAAGAGGGAAAATACTTACCTCGTATTGAAGTTCTCAAGGTAGATAGCTTTATTTTGGAAAAGTCAGACACTCTTTAATAAGGACTTCCTGATACTAAACTCTCTTGCAAAATTTAACAGAGTTTTGAATACCTTCTTGTTACTATGTGTGAGGGAGATTTACTTTAGAAGTTTTAGTGCAGTGTTAATTTTTCATGTATGGGAGTGCAGCCGTTGCTGCAGAAATTCTCTTTGTCACATGTAATGTCATTGATTTTTTTTTTTTCTTTTAGAAAGCAGATATCCACTAACATGCATGTCTGTTGACACCTGTTCTAGGTTCTGACTCTAGAGCCTGGCTTTCCACATTGTCATAGTTGTATGCTGCTTTTATTCAGAGGTATCTACACTGACATCATCATAAATATTGGTGTAATGGAACGGAAAATAAGGCAAATGAGCTCTCACTATTATGTCAAAAAACTTAGCTAATTTCTCCAGAAAGCTGGCATTCTCTGTTTCTCTATATCTTCAGAAATTTAGCTAATTCTGGTTACTGCTTCTCTTTTATGGAGTGGGAAGGAAGAAAAAAAAACCAAAGGGCATCTTGTATCTGTCTAATCAAAGATGCAGATGCTTAACTGATCTAAATCATCATAGTTTCATTGGTAGTGTTTTGATAATTTACACAAATTGAGAATCTGTCCTGTGGCATTTTTAGTTTTCTAACGTAACCAAGAAAATTTGGGCTATCCAGTGAGTTATCTGTAGAAATATAAAGGACAGACTTTCTATATTCTTTTTGGAGCTTCTGGAGACAGCGACTCTCCTACACTTCTTTCAGATTCATTCTCTTTCTCCAGGTTTTCAGCTTTTCAGTAATGGAGACTGTGAAATACCTAAATGTTAAAGAATCCGAGTGATTTTAACTTGAGGGTGAGTTTCACTGGAAACTTAAATGTTTTGAAGCAACAGCCCAGGTCTCAGTGGAACAATCAGAATTGTAGTCATAAGGCTATATAATACAGAGTTGAACCAATGGGGAGTGTAGGATGGCAAGCTACTGTTGAACTTACTGTTTAGGGGTGTGCAAAGCTTCGGTCAACGATTCAATTTGGAGAAGATTCAGAGGCCAAATCACCGAATCTGAATTGGATCGGGAGAAGGAAAAAAACCCCTCCAAATTGATTCCGAAAAGATTTGGAGATTCAGAAGGCTGTCTTTCAGGGGAACAAACTGAGAAGAGGGAGGAGGAGCAGGGTGGGGAAAGACTGACATCTGTAGCTGGCCAGTGACTGTGATCTTTCCCTGAGTCCCCTTCCAATCACAGTGCTGTGGGGAAGGACGTAGAAACAGCACATAAGCCTCTGTCTGCAGCCTTTCTGTGCCTTTTGTGAGCTGTTTCTGCGTAAACAAAAGCATCTGAAAGGAACTGGACTGGCTTGACTTCCTATCTAGTCAGTCTCCTGATATTTTTTGTTCTTGGAAAGGATTGGATATAGCTTAATAACTAGAATTCCTCTATTTGTTCTTGTTTTTCCCCCCCCCACTTCTTAAAAAGAAAGCTGTATTTTCCTTGGCAGTGAAACCCCTGCTCCTTTCTCCTTGAAACTTGGCAGCCCTCATGGCCTCAGAAGGGGCTACCATCCCTGCTATTTTCATCCAAATCTGCCTTAACACACACGACACAAGCTTAGCTTTCAGCAATTTGAGGTACAGTTTCCCAGAAACCCCTGCACCTATCTCCTTGGAACTTTGCAGGCTTTGTGCCCTCAGAAGGGGCTACCATCTCTGAAATTTTTATCCAAATCAGTCAAAAAATGACAAAGTTTTAGGTATTTCAGTGATTCCCCAGTATAGTCTATGACCAAATCTCCAAATTTCTCCGAATCAGCACTGAATGTTCATAAGTTGATTCAGCTGAATCACTTTGGGACAGTGATCTAAATCTCCAAATAGAATCACTGTCCTCCGAATCAGCTGAATCTGAATTGAATACTTCTCTATTCACACAGGCTTATTGCTGTTACTTCTTTCCCAAAATTCTTATTGGGTGGTAAATCTAACAGCTGACATCCTTTTGTGTACATGTTTGAAGAGCAGGAAACATCTGTTCCAGTGAACCTCACATTTGATGCTATCTATCATCCTTAGGCACAAAATTGAAGTCACAGTTACCCGCCAAGGATACCTTTTGGCAAAAGTTAGAATTATTTAAACACAGAAGTGAAACTTTTATATTTCAACCTGCTAAATTAGCACCAACATGTGAATAATTATACAGTATTACAAATAGAAATGAGGTAAAATGTTATTCTGATAACAGTGAAACAAATATAGACCACAACTGAACAAAGAAAGCTTATAGACTATATACATACAGAAACAGAACATGCTAAAGAGATAAGACAGGAAAAAATGAAAATTTAAATTTTTCTCTCCCCTTGACATTCAGAAGTTGGTAACTCTCATTAATGCTAACTGAAGTCTCAGAGAAAAATCTCCATGGACCTGTCACTATTTAAAAAGCTCCATACCCAGCAAATCTTTGAGAGGGTTATTATATCAGCTATCAGCTTGATCAGAATGAGCTCAACACCAAAAAGATACAATCACCTGAAGTAGAAATCACCTTTCTCTCACCAACATGATTTGTGCTGGCTGTATAGACTAGGATGGAAAGGGGTTCAAGACTCTTCTGAAACATTTGAGTGTGCTCCATTAAATATGATAAACTGTAAAGAACAACATTTCAGGTGGTAGCCATATATAGATCTGAACCTAAACTGTTCTGCAACTTGACAACATCTGCATACTTATAGCATTATATAAATGCTATTATGTTGCACTATTGTCTTGGGGAGTGCACACTTTGAAGAGGGTTTCCTTTCAGGAGTGCAGGTGGCAGAAAGAAGGAAAGCCACAGAAGAACTTATTGGCTATCACATGACCTAATGCATCTTTGTAAGCAAGGATGGACTAAGAAAGCACAAGGCCAGTTATGTCCCCATGGAAACAACTCTTTTAGAACTCTTCTGGGCTTCATCAGGACAAGATGTTCATGTTCCAATGTGAAAGTTAGCTGAACATAGCCCTCAATGTTTAAATCCTGTTCAATATTGCTGAACAAGTATTATTGTGGTGGGCTTGACTATCAGTCCAACTCTTTGCCTGTCCCTGCCCATGATGTAATAGTCAATGAAAAGAGAACAGGAATTTATGAAGGGTATTTATGCTATTATTGGAAATGAAACTTTTGTGTTTTTACGCTTTTAATTTTATTACTATAGTGAAAGCAAGAGAGTCTTAAATGCCACAGCGTATAGTAAAATGTCTATAAAGGAAAGTTAATGCAATGAAAATTCAGTGACACTGCTTTATATCTTCAGGAAAAAAATTTTTTTTTTTTTTTTTTTACTTTTTAAACATGCATATTAAACTCTTTACTGATGATCTTACCAAAGACTTACAAGATTGTATTAAGTAATATTTTCTAGATATGGTGGGGAAAAATCTTTCTTACCTTAGTTGAACTTAAATGGTGTACTCTGTCACTAGAATAGCTTTGGGGTATTGGAGGATCAGGGTAGTCATCAACACCTTTCAAGGCATTCTTTTTGATGACTTCTACATAGGAAACAGGGAAGATGCCTTGTCTGTTGGTTCCTGGTATTTTACCTTCATACCAGTTTTGATCAACTCGTTTAAGAAGAATTACTCTGTCTCCCTGTAATGCATTATGAAAATTCATTATCAGTGAACAAGGGATAACTTTATTTTGAATATTTTAGTAACTCAGAACATGGCAATATTTTCACCTGGTGATTCTTTGTGACCACTCAGAGTCATGATAATCTCCCACATGTTCTCATTCCCCTCACATTTCCCCAATAACCTCACTAAAGGATGATTCCCATTCCAGTAGAAGTGGACTAGATGGTGGTACCATTCTAATATCAGATATTGGCCGTGAAGGTATATTCTAGTCCCATTTTTTCTATGTATTCTGCTCCTCTACTACATGCCTGGCCTGATCTCTTCCTACAAGTAATAATAATCATTATTGCACCCAATGTAAATGTCTTGCAGATGTTGTATGCTTTTTTTAAATTAGCAAATTAAAAAAAAAAAAAAAGGGAAAACACAATCCATGGTATTGTAAAATCTACAGTGTTGCCAAGTCTGATTTTTGGCATGGCGTTGTTCTTGAAGTCAGCACACTGGGAATATGAAAAACTTAACTCTTTCTTTATATATAAATTATATATAATTTATATATATATAATGTGTGTGTGTGTGTGTGAAATGTAAATTTGTGTAAATGTGAAAAACTTAGCTATTTCCATATATATAAAATAAATAAATAAAAGGAAAGAGCTAAGTTTTTCACATTCCCAAAGCACTGATGTAGTGGCAAGGACCATGCACATCCTCTTGAGCCCCTGATAGCCTTATCTAATCTGGACGGGAAAGGGCAGAGAGCGCTGGGGGAGCAAGATAACTCACCAGCAAGGTGGAGCAAGCCTGGACTGGTGCAATGTGTGGTGCCTCAATCAGGCTCGGTGGCACTTGGCTGATGATGTCAGCCACAGGCACCGCCATGGGAAATTTAAAAGGCACAGATGGTGCCGAAGAGGAGAGAGAGGCTGGGAGGTGACACCAGGCAAACTGAGCCCATGGACAGGGGATGTTGTGGGGCGCCAAAGCTGTGGGGCGCCAAACCACCTGGGTCCCCGCTAAAATAGGGCCAGGAAAAGACAGGGAGCCACTATCCAACTCCCTGCGCTCCCTCAGCAGCCTTGCTACTACCAAAAAGGGAGGCTGAGAAGGGAAATCATGTGAGGGGTTTGTTTGAGCCTCTCACAGGCAACCCCTTTCTTGTTTTCTTTTCCTTTTTTTTTTTTTTTTTTTT